AAAAGGATGTTGGGAGGGGCGACATGGTTCCTTTGGTATGGTTTCTCGGGGTTTGGGGGGGGGGGGGGCTGATAACCCCAATAGCCCAAGTGATGAATTTTCGTCAGAGGACTAAGAGCCACTCGGGATTTATTTTGGAAAGGGAAACATTTTTATTATCTTAAAAAAGGGTGTTTAGAGCAGGAGGAGGAAGCTTGTGTTTTGGTATAATAATAAATAATAAAATTCTCAGCCATGGGGCTGGGGTGGCTGGAGCCCTTAGAGAACGGGCAGGACAAAAATTTCAAGAAGAATCAGATGGACTGATAGAACGTAGAAAGAACCCCCCTAGAACGGGAGATATAATCCTACAGAAAATAGGAGGGCCAAATGGCAAACCAGTAATACATGCCATTGGGCACGAAAAAGCAGAGGCCACGAATTAGAAGAATTAAAAGCTATTTTGACCTTGGACACATTAACCTCCTGGGGTCGAAGCCCGCACCAGTGCGGTCTGTCTCGTATTTCCTTTATGACCGCGAAAAGAACTAAAAATACTCCGTCAGTTTTGATCGTACAGATAAGAATAAGGTATCGTTTGAAACTGCAAAGGGTCTACTTTTATTTGCGTATAGTCATAATAACAACAAAACAATGTGCTTTTGTAAAATAAAGAAAATAAACAGGGTGCGTTCTCTGCCGTCTCTGTCTCTGTCACCTCTCTTCACAGATACGTAAATAAAACAACATGAATCTCCGCGAATACTTGCCTCAAAGATATGCGAAATATATGTATAGAAAGCTTGAAATGTCTACTTTTAAATGAAGTAAGTCACGTCCAAACAAATATTCTCTGTTAAAGTAATCCGTATTAAACTAACGCGATGTCCAGTTTTCCCATCTCAACTCATTATATGTAATGTGGTCACGCGCCGATCGCGGCTTTTCAGATTCTAAACATCCACGTGAGACACGCGTGCGTCACGCAGCTGGATCCAGTGGAGGATATCACTCTGATGAGTAGTCTAAGAGCACTTGCATCTGTTGTTATTGTGACATAACTTGTACACATTTTACTAGACTTTTCCCAAAATATAATTCCTGACTACATGAATGAAATCAAGTGAAACATTTTGAAATATGTGTTATTTCATTGTCTAAATGTCTGACAACGCCAGGATGTTTGTTTAATGTTTTATAACATATAAAACTACAAGATAGAAAAGAAGTGTGAGTGTTAACACTATGAATGAATGTTTGGCAGAAAGGTGTGTTACTGTTGAAGTCTCAGTGTTCAGATCAGTAAGTTCAATCATGTGTCCTTGACCTTCACTGTGTATATTTTTTATTATACTGTGTTGTAAATAAAATACAAATTATAGTCAAAAACCCACATTATTTTACTCTCCTCACACTCTTTCTTACCTGCCTCAGTCACTTTCATATTGATGACCCATTATGAGAGGCCCTTTGTCTCTCAGTTGTGAATCACTAAATATTCATGGCCATTGTCACTCCCTCGCAAAAACACAAACATGTACTTTCATGCTGCTCACATATTATTGTAGCCCAGTTTGTGCTGAATACAGTGTTATCAGACTTTAGCAATTAATATTTTTTTTAAGATACTGAAAAAAAAAAAAAATGTCAGGGCATGTCAAAACTTCTCCGGGGCCCCAAAACACCCTCAGACCCCAGAGGGTTAATAGATCTAATCTGTGCATCTGCTAGAGAAAATAAATATCGCACAGTGGCTATGCCCATAATATCAGGAGGGGTGTATGGTTTTAGTGAAACCAAAATGGGGACATCCCTCGTAACAGCACTGTTAAGAAAAACTGACCGTACTGACTGGCCTAAAACATGGATAGTCTTTCACCCAAATGCCGCGGTGTTGAAGAATATAATGCAAAGGGTGAATCAAGATGAAGCGGCCAGAGAAGGAAGGTCAAATCAGGGAATAGGCACGAGACAACAATCGACTGAACTCAGGGCAAAAGCCCTAGAACACGAACCAGATCCTAACTGGCCGGTGTTAAAGCGGGTAGGAACTTCTCGAGAGAAAAGAGACCAAGTAGACAACCCCATTCCTAAACTGAAGCTCTGTAAGAGTTATGATACATTTAGACTAGGAAACGGGTCATACAAACCAACACCTGCAAAACGTAGGAAAAGAGAGACCCTTTTAAATCGAAGGGACACGTGGGACGAAGAGTACGCACCCAGTATAACCTGTGGTCAAGTATGGTGTTTACTTAATGGAGGAGACTCTATAGAAATCTTCGGGGACACCACACTGACTCAGAGAGCAAAGAGAGCAATTGTAGCACAGAAAGACCTGATAAACAAAGCAGCATTAGAAATCAATTTCTATTCTGCTTCTCTCTCAGGGTTCGGAAGCACGCGCTGCGATTTCTTCCCCCCAGAGACAGAGCCAGACGCTTCATCTATCTTCCTCTGAGGAGGTGGATGTGATGAGTGTCGAGACAGAGGAGACTGTGGACTCGCCACCACAGTCCCTCGCATATGAGGTGTGACTCGTGCAGTAGCCAAAATAAAATACCGTTTGGCCAGCCGAGAAACAGGACGCTCGTCCTAAAAGTAATTAGACGAGGGTTTTCTGAGATCCAGATCACAGCCTCCACGACGGGGCCTTCCGCTTTTCCCCGATCTCCATGCTGAGGTGTCAAGATCGTGGGAGAAACCGTACTCATCCCGTATTTACAGCCCCACAGTCTCGAATTATTCAAAAGAACATCGTGGCGCTGAATGATAAGGGATATGGGGCGATGTCAGTGGTGGAGCAGACGCTTGTGAGCTATCTCTCCCCATCCTCTGCATCGTCCCTGAAGGCTCCGAAGCTTCCCACCAGGCCCGTTAGGCTGACATCGAGTCTGGTTGGGAAAGCTTATACGGCGGTAGGTCAGGCTGGCGCATGTTTGCACAAGTGAAGAGGCTACAGCAGTCAGGTCGGTTGTTCCCTGCCGGTCATCCGCTTCAGGACACCGAACTGGCTCCTCTAATAAAACCAGAGACCAGCCTCAAGAGGCTGGTTCCCTTAGTAGATTTTCTGGCAGCGTGGGAACTTTTGCCAAATGTATCAAAATGGGTCCTGCAGGTTGTAGAAAAAGGCTACAGAATCCAGTTCGGTTCTCGTCCTCCTCGTTTCAATGGGGTCATTCCCACACTAGTGGGCCCCAAGCAGGCTCTGGTAATGGAACTAGCAGTAGGTACTCTCTTGAGGAAGGGGACCATAGAACGTGTTCCTCCTCTCTCGAGAGCGTCTGGGTTATACAGTCGTTACTTCATCATTCCGAAGAAGGATGGGGGTGTTGCGTCCGATTTTAGATCTCCATTTTCTGAACTGTGCTATCAAACGGCTTCGGTTCAAGATGCTCACTATCAAGCAGATAGTTCTCAAATCCAGTCCGAGGACTGGTTTGTTACGTTAGATCTCAAAGACGCTTATTTCCATGTTTCCATCCTCCCTCAACACTGGAAGTTTCTGAGGTTTGCTTTCGGGGATGAAGCATACCAAAATTGAGTTCTTCCCTTTGGCCTGTCACTCTCACCCCACACTTTCACGAAGTGTGTGGATGCAGCTCTGGCTCCTTTGCGACTCCAGGGCATCCGCATACTCAATTACATCGACGATTGGTTGATACTAGCTCGATCGGAGCCTGTCGTCCTCGCCCATATGAGAGAGCTGGGGTTAAGGCTAAACGTCAAGAAGAGTGTACTTTGTCCACTACAGAGGACCACTTATTTA